GAGAGAGAGAGAGATCAACTCTTCAGGAGTCATGACTTAATAGGTACTTACCCTTGCTCCATCTATAACTGGAAGACGGAGGGTGCTGGCTTTCAAAGCTTCAATCGCTCCAGATAAAGAATTGGAATGATCTCTTTCCAGCAGAGACCAATCTTCGAGATATGACATCTGCATTTACCCCATGCCATGAGTTAATATTTTCTTTTAATTCACTAGTTAAATAATTTTTTCTTAGATGTATGAGAGATACAAGCCTTTGGCATAGGACTTGTAAGACCCAGAGCAAAGGTATTTATATTTTGCACATGTTGGTAACTTGTGAATCATGTCAGGGCACAATTCTCAATTATATGCATTTTCCAAGGGACTTTTGAACATATTATTGCTCAGATGGTACAAAATAATATAGATAGAAGCAAATATGTGAGTGAGCTAAGGCAGGGTGACTAGGAATATGTAAGGGGGAGGAGTAGGAAGGTTGTTTAGACTTTAGATTCATGGTCCATGTACAAGGGGTATAGTCAGTATGTAGGGCATCACGCTCTCTTTTGTATGTTTCTCTTGGGACCTGCATGTAATAAATGTTTCCTCATTAATTTAGACTATGTAAATTAAAAAGAAGTCACAACTCAGTTCCTCGATGAATCCAGAGTGCTAGCTAAGCGTCAATGTTAACCTGCAAAAGGACACTCCTACATTAACTTACAACATTAAGCTCACATTGATAACAATTTAATCCTATCCAAGAACCCCTAAACGTCCCAGCTCTTACTATTAAGCACACAAAGTTTGTGATCTAAATACCTCTCAAATCATGATAGCTAGAATCTGAAAATCCCTGGCCCCTTCGATAAACTAAGACGAAACAAACTACTCACATAACACCTGAGAATCATTGCGTCAATCCCACAGTTGCCAGGATCCACCTATGATTCGGCTCCAGAAACCCTATCTTGTGCTCTAGGGAAGGGGATCTCACTCCTTACCAATTCTTAAAAATCTTGATCCTTCCTAATAGGGACGGAGGTCCTGAGTTATATGGGATCCAGATTTTCTAGCATTCTAGTATAGTAGCAGTGTGATATAGCATAGAAGTATATACTATACGGTGTATATTACATAGATGTATGTAGTAGATTTAACTATAGTAGTGTATAACATAGTTGATAACATAGCACTGTAGTATAGTATAGCAAGTATTGTGTAACAATGTGATATATTATAATAGTTTGTACTATAGTACCATACTAAAAGTGCTCTCGGAGGCCTCAAGTTTTAACCAGATGGAGCTCGGTCTATCATCCAATCCCCATTAAGACTGCATCAATCTCTCCCACATAACGGGATTAACATCCCTAGATTTTAGGGTGTACGGACCGTGATCTGTAACATAGGGAGCTTTCTGCTTTCAACGTTCCCACGGTCCTGATCCTGATCCCAGATCTGATTCGATCTTGTTCCTAGTAAATATGGTCAATCCAAATAAGAAGAGGAGAGTACTGCAAGTGTTAAATCTCTATATAAGTTGAGAAGAGGATGATTCTCTCAATATCATTGCTCCAAATTATATCCATATTCACATACCATCACATACATCATGGAACCTTTTTTTTTTTTGAATATGCGACATCAAGGAACTTATCAGTCATTAATCAGAATGCAGAGAATGTCACGGTCCACCTTATACTTTCTTTTGTTGCATGATAGATCACAAAATAAAGGATAGGCTCATTGCCAAGTTAGTCAGATGCAAGTGTAGCGGGTGGGTCTTGGATATTTAGTCTCTTTATTTCCAAGTAAAATGTTCACTGAAACCAAAGTACAACTATGAAAGTGAACGGAACCAGCCAAATGAATAAGAAAATATTCAGAAAACCAATCAATAACATCAGGACATCACACGTCCTTCCTTGACATAAAGGTCATGGACAATCGGTTGGGAAGAATACGGTATATCAGTGTTGAAGAGGGGTTAGGCCTGAAATAAAATTTGTGGTGTTGACGGGGTTGAGTCATTGGGGGCAGGAAAACTACTCTTCACAACGAAAGAAATAACATGTCTTATAGTTATGGTTTTGTGGAAATTCCTTTGGGGAAATAGTACCTATCCAATTCCACCATTACCACTGCCACGTGGATCAGCAGGTAGATTCTAGAATAGATTGTCATGACCAAAGGATTGTGGAAAAGACAATTAGCTTCATGATGGAGGATCTCATCTAATTTATCTGTCTACCAACATATCTATACACACAAGCATGCACCCACACATGTATCTATGTAGTATCCTGTATGTGTGTTTGTGTATATGCATATATTTATATGCTACTTATGTACATCCAGAGCATGCAGCTTTGTTGTTATATGTGTGAGCACACGTGGGAATAACAAATGAGAGATCATTTTGAAGTACATTTTTTTCTTACATTAGTAATCCATTCACAAGAACGTAAAAGTAATTAATTAGTAAACATAATTTATTATTCCTAAATGACTCAAAAATATGAAAAAATTATCGAAGTTTGGATCTCAGCAAGTGATTTACAAAGATTAAGAGCAAATAGATTATCATCGTGGCAAATGCATTTATGATTGTGATCTATTTTTCTAAAACTGATTGGTGCATATATCAAATTCATTCATTGTTGTTGTAATTTTTAGTGTATGCAGTGTTTGTATCAAATTTGGTTTCAATAATTCTCATGCGAATTCATGGAAGAATAATTCCATTTCTCTCTTGAGAAAGCAATAGCCTCTTTAATTTATTAATAAATATTTTATTTATTAATTCCTATAGAAAGGTACATCAGAATTAACGTCATTTCTCTACAACTGTATTATTAATAAGCAAGTAATGCAGTTTCTTTTGTAATTCTATGTTTTCTCACTACAGACGCTTGAAAACTTCTATCCTTCACTGTAAAAAATTGATATTAATTGAAATAAAGGGTAAGTTTGGAACAAGATCTGAGAAATACTCCATTAACCCAGCCTATGTAATAGAGTGTAGATACCGGATGAAAACAATTGTTATCAGAACAATGTTATTTCTATTCTCAGAGTAGCAATAAATATTTTTAATTGTCCACAAGCATGAGACCAAGAGTAAGGGCTTCGCAAGGGATGGAAGACGAGAAAGGAGAAAAATAACTCTCCAAAAATAATTTGCTTACGATGTCAATAAAAAACAAGGAGCAAAATTTCTAGACAACAAAGAAAAGCATGAGAAGAACGAAAAAAATTCAATGATGGCCATCCTGAGCAGAGATAGGATGAAGGTCATCCAAAACAATGACTTCGTGCAAATATGAAGTCTAGTCTACACAAAACCTTAGGAGTTTATCTCCATAATACATGGAAAGATGAAAATCGATTCTTGTTCAACTGACAGACATGCCCTTCATACATGGATATTAGCATACTCTTAGCCAAGAGAACAAAAGAATAGTACATGAATACACAGATAGATAGCCAACGGGTAACAAACTTGCAAATGGATGTCACTATAATGAAAACTAAATCTAGTTATGGAATTACACAGAATTTTCTAATGTATTGTCCACCACCGCATGACCTAATATATGACAAATGCAGATATGTAATGTCAAAAGGCCTAATGCATGGAAACCCTGAAATGGAAGAATATAAAATATTAAATATGCCGTAGGGATAGGAAGCATCCTATATATGCATATTGGTTCAGTTAAATCTCAGCAATGAGAATGTCAAAGTGAGGCAGTAATCCAGCTCGAATCCCATCAATCTTTTGCTCAATGTTAAAAAATTCAGCCGCCCAGCCATCTAGGTGACCAGAGGCCAAAATGCCTATGAGGGCCTTAGACAGGCTTCCTAGGCTTCGTGTGTCTAGGCTCTCGCCTTAAGATAGGCGCCTCACTGTCGGCAGGCCGAGGGTGGAAATGGGCCCTCGGCCAAGGGAAATTTAGGCATCCATTTAAGAGTTTGTTATCCGTTGGCTATCGATCTATGTATTCATGTACTATTCTTTTATTCTCTTCGCTAAAAGTATGCTAATACCAATGTGTGAAGGGCATGTCTGTCAGTTGAACAAGAATCAATTTTCATCTTTCCATGTATTATAATGGTATTTGAGATGAACCCCTTCTAAGGTTTTGTGCAGATCAGACTTCATATTTGCACGAAATCATGTTTTTATGTCACTGTAATGAAAACTAGATCTAGATATAGAACTGCATAGAATTTTCTTATGTACGATCCACCACTGCATGACCTAATAAATGGAAAAATGCATATATGTAATGTCAAACTGCCTAATGCATGAAACCCGAAAATGGAATCATATGAAATATTAATATGCCATAGGGAGAGCATGCGTCCTATATATATATATATATATATATATGTGCATATTGGTTCAGTTAAATCTCAGCAGCAAGAATGTCACAGTGAGGCAGTAATCTAGCTCGAATGCCATCAATCTTTTGTTCAATGTTCAAAAATTCAGCCGCCCAGCCACCTAGGCAGCCAAAAGGTCAAAATGCCTAAGAAGGCCTTAGACGAGCTTCCTAGGCATGGTGCGTCTGGGCGCTTGCCTTAAGGTAGGCACCTCATTGTAGGCAGGTTGGGGGAGAAAATAGGCCCTCGGCCAGGGGAAATTTGGGCATTCCCCCACCCCACCTCACCTCTCTTCCACCAAAAAAACAAAAAGAATGTGGACAAAACTGTTTTAGGGAGCATTCCAGCCCTCCAAAACCTCTTTTGTATATTTTAGAGAGATAGAGAGAGAGAAACTCTCCAAATACTAAGATTTTGAGATCTTTCTCAAGATCAAAAAAGTTTCAACATCTTTTAGTTTTTGCGAAATCAAAAGATATGCTTCTTGATACTTTTTTAAGCTTGGAGTGGTCATATAAGAGGACTTCTTGCGACCAAAGATCACCAGTTTGGGCCGATATCGGTCTCATTCTGAAAAGGTTAATGCATTACAATATTTGAATTAGGGTTTGATTTTTCTTTTTCTTATTTTATAGTGTGTAATGATTTGATGTTCCTTTTTTTTTACTCTTTTGTGATAATTTTACAGGCTTGTAGTTAAAAACTTGAAATATTTTGTGAATATTTCCCAATTTTGGCCTATATCAAATTTATTTCGAAAAGCTTAGTACATTACAATATTTGAATTAGGGTTT